TGGATGGCTTTAAAAACAAACCGGTCCCATCTAGATTTCGGTGCGGAAAAAAAGTGTTAGGGATCACCCCTTAAAAATGTAGTACTACCTCAATTTACAAGTATCTGAAATTATGAATATCATGTAGAGGGGGCAACTACTTAGTGAACTAAAAAGGAGGATACCCTTAGTTCATGAATTGAACAATTATTGGAGAAGATTTGACAAAATGATCTAATCTGCTAAAATACGTGTTTAAATGGGAAATTCCTCCAGATGACGTCACTAAGCGATGCATTTTCTCACTTTTAAATCTAGTTTTACACTATTATCGGAAAACGATTATAAAAAAAATACTGTGAAATCAGCTCTTTAAGCACTCTTAGATGAAGCAATAAAATTTTTGTGAGCAAATTCTCCATTTGTTAGATGCTATGGGCATTTCCAATTAATAATAGTAGTACCGCAACATTTGGGTTAGTAACCTAATTTAGTGGGATCCTACAACCATTAATTGGGGTGCTACCAAAAAATGGAAAATCCCATATCAGCTATCAACCCCTGCCTCTTTTTCCCGTGAGTTTTCCAAAATCTTGTAAGTCCTTTTTCAATTTGTTGAAAGGAAACCAAGTATATTGATAAGTCTATTTATCATGCCGAGTAAGTTCTTTCTCCAAAGCGTGCGCAACACATTTTAAATTTACTGCAAAGATAAAATCCTGTATATAAAGTAAGGAAAGTAAATTTTCGTGATAAATCTTGAGCATATCAAAACTACATATCCAATTTTTATTCGAGCCGAGGCCTCGCGGAAAACCTACTCCACTTAGAATAAAAACTAGTCAAAGATGAGTTATCGATTCCTCGAAGATCGAATGCCTTCCGTTTCAGTCGACATTTCCTTCGTTGGGTTCGGACAACAACCCTCGCCCACCACCCGATCGACGATGCGGGGCGGGTGGCAATTCACGACCACTCGCGAGTCCTGAGTTTTTCCGCGATTAACCCCCTCCTCCTCCCCGCGAAGGGGCGATGAACTCACTTATCAACTAACAAGGGAACACTCGCTGAGAACCCCGTGCTCTCCGTCGCACATAGGATCGAGTCAATACGAGAGGTCGGACAAAATTTGGAGACTTTAAACGCTTATAACTATCCGTTTATACGAAACTTAGAGGTTCTAAAAGTGGTTCCATAGGTTTCCTCATGAGATTTTCGACTAAAGCCACCCCTTGAAATTTGAAATAAGACGCAGAAAACATCAAAATTTGCAGTTTTAGTCGCAAAATTTCATGTCCGACCTCTCTAATTGACTCGATCCACTGTACGGCGTGTTACTTATACACCGACCACTTGTGCTTGCTCTCATGAGGAGAGCTCATCACACGACTAATGTGCTTGCAGAGAGAGCGTTATTCGATCTCGCCGTTGAATTGGGACTCTGTTCAGCCCGTATAGTTGTTCTTGTTGTTTTTCGTCATTATTCCTTCCTTGCCCTGTTTATGTTTGATATACTGGCATAAAAATAGACTCATTTTAAAGAATATTATCAATTTATGCAAAATTCAAAACGATGAACAGGGCCTTTCAAGTATGATGTGATCTACTCGAGGGAGGGAGGTCTGAGTTTACTTTACGGGGTCATACGAGGGGGTGGAGGACAAAGCCCAGTCTTACGGAAATCTCCCAGTTTCTAAAAAAAAAGTAATACAAATAAAAAATAAAAATCTACAAATAAAGAATATTTTCAACAAAAATAATTTGACTCCACTAGGTTTTTTTTACAGCAAGTTATCTTGGTCATCATTGTATTTATAAAAAAAAAAACTTGCACTTTGTACCATGTGCTTTGGCTATCGATAGCTTTGTCAAAGAAAATTGTGCTCAAATGAATTGTTTCCCTTTGTTTTGAACATTTCAGTTTTATTCTGACTACTTTCACCGCACGTCGGCAAATTCATCAACAGCAGGGATAAATAATCTCAAATTTTGCAGTATGCAGTTTAGTTGTGCTCCTTTATAATACAAACTCACTTCACGGAATCTATTTTTTTAGACTGCAGCAGGAAGTTAAATCCATTCAAAATCGCTTCGACTCCAGCATCAACTTCGCATAAACTTGGAGCTACCGAATTCAGTAGAATTAAGACGCATTCGAAGGAAACTCGGCTGGTGGCTGTTTGAAGGTTCAGGGGAGGAGGCGGTGTGGGGGCGGGTAGNGTAGAGGGGGGGCGTAGGTAAGTCATTCATTCGTGCAATTCATTCGCTATTCAGTTATTTTAATTCAATGCGCCGCAAGTCGACGTTCCCGTCTTAGCCGTGCGTTTCCTTATCAATTCAAACTCGGCTGTTTTCACCACCCCCTCCCCGCGCCTGCCAGCTCACGTGCCGCAACCCGCAACACTTCCCCGTAAGTTATGTTCATGACACGGGGAAGGCGCCGCGAATCAGGTGGGTGGGCAACGTTGTCGGATCTACACGACCTTCCGAATAGTTTCCTATACAATGCTCTCCATCGATCAATCAACATTTCTCGGAATTATATTGGTGATCTTCACTATATCACGCATTAGTCATCTGATAGTTGGTGTCCAGTGGGCTGATTATTGAAATTGATAGACAAAGCTACATACAAAGGAGATAAATCAGGAGGATTCAGAAGGAGAGGAGATGGAACAATTCTATTGGTGTAAGCGGGTAGTTGCAACGGACAAAAGAAGTAAGTATAGATGAACTAACAGCAACCCGTAAGGGACTCCCCTTTTGAATTACGTAAGACTGGTCTGATTCCACCCAAAATTGTGCAGAAAAATAATGGTGGCGACGTGAAAATACCTGAAAAAAATTATATTGAAGAATATTATATCTATCTTAAAGAGGGGAGGCTTACGTAAGATCGAGCTGGGTCCCCTCCTCCTCTGAGCAGCTTACGTAATACTTGAATGGCCCTTTGTGGAATTTTGGAGTAATTGGCAACATAAGGGTAGAAAACTTGAGGCATCAAAGAAATTCACCACTATTAAATCTAGCTTAGACTAATCGCTCACAAGCGATAAGAAACACACATTCTCACAGCAAGGCCGGCCGCGTTGGGAACTTTTTGACTCTCCTCGCTCTGATAAAGAGCCCGAAGTGTACGGAAGGGGGTGAGGGGGGTGGAGGGGGGCTGTTGGCTGGCTTGGAGGGTACAGAGCGGCATGGCAGGGTGTTTCAGAACTTTGCGCCATTATTTTTAGCTCCCCGTCTTCGAAGTCAAAAAGTCGTAGCTCGCCAATTCGGTTACCTACTTTTGAGGTGGTTTCGCGCATACTTTTCCCGCCAACTTCCGGGTATTGTCTTCAACTTTGATCAGCCGAGATTCCTAGGAGAGCTCCAGGAAATAAAGGGCGATCGCGTGCTAGTGTAGAGACGTTGGTGTTATGAATGGGCCGCAGGTTTGGAGCTTCTGGAAAGTGAACTGAGCTGGTCAATTTACTTCATGAGTTTTTGTGTCCTAATTTACAAATACTCGTCTTTTGAAAAAGTGCTCATTCCGACATTCATCAGTCATCATTGGTGGATTTATGCTTAACAAGTTGTCCATCAGATACACGGGAAAAAAATGGATTGCTGATTTAACAATTAAATTGTTAAAAGCATATTCGACATGTTTCAAATGTACATTTTACAATAGCGGAAAGCTAATTTAACCACGAGGGTTGTTTAATTAGTTTTTTTTTATTGCCCTTTCTGCATTGAAACATGTCGGATACTTTTTTTCAAATCAGCAATATCAGTTTTTCCGTGTATCATTAGGCGAAAAAAAAACGTTGGCCTCCGAATGTAACGTTTACCACGCTCCACTACATGGTTCAGATTGTTACAGTGGGGTCTCTGAAATATATTGCCCCTGAACCGAACTTTTTTTTAGCAGTGTTTATTTCGCTCAGCAAGGTTTACCTGTGCAAAGATCGGCGCAAAAAAAAAGTCACCGCAAGAGGATTCATGACCCCTAACGGTGTCGCGGATAGAGTTTATTAGTTTGGACCGCAGCTGATTCATAGCAACGCTCGATTATTCTAAGCTCCAATCGTTTCGCGAATTCGCCCTCGGGGGGGAGGGGGGGAGGGGGGAGAAATTCGCGCGGGAATTCCAACTCTCGCAAGGGGACTCGCGCGTCGAAAACTAATTTACGAGCCACGTTGACAAGTGGATAGACAAATTGGAATAACACCATGAGATCTGAAGAGTGGGTTTGAGGCCTGGTGGCAACGCTGTTCGGGAGTTATTTGCTGTGAGCAGCTTTTAATTAACCCTCCAGTATCTATTGGTTATAATTATTGTTCGCTATGCTACTGAATCACAACGCAAAGGATTCTTGCACATGCACTAGAAAACATGGTAATGGTGATGTTTTGCATAAAAGGCAAAATTTGTCTCTGATTTTTTTTCTTTTTTTTAGAGACCTGAAATTTTTTTCGAATTTTTTTTTTGCTACGCAATTTTTTCTGTAAAGAAAAACACTTTTGGGTAAGAAATTGTTATTTGTTCCATTCAATGAAGCTACTTTTGAATTCACAGAAAATTTTCTTAGCCATCCGACGACAAAGTTAATTTTATTTAACTAAAAACAAAATTCATCCAATCAAATGTTCGGCCCATATTAAATACAGGTTTTCCGGTTTAGGTAACTAAAGTTTTCGGTCAAAAAAACGAGCTTTGGTTCAGGTGACCAAAATTTAAATCTTATGAGCAGAAACTTCGCTTCAGTGAACCAAAAAACTTTAGTATTAAATATGAACCGAAATTCAGGCGGTGCAACGGAAGTTATTTTCTCAGTGTTGCTATGTGACAGATCGCACGAGACACTACAATACTGATAATGCAAACATCTAAAGATGAGAAAAATCAGCTCAATGTTAATCGTGCGTAAAATACAAACCCTAGGAAAAACCATCGAGAAAAAAAAGGTACCTAAAACTCAATCCAGGAAAATATACAATCGCAATAACTGATAAGCATAAAAAAAGGAAAATTCTTACCTTTCTGCCAAACAGGCGTAGATGGCGGATTAGAGTCTACATCACATTTTAATGAAACAGGGATACCCACAGTGAGAGGGGTTCCGAACCCTGGTATTCTACTAATTCCAAAAGAAGGAGTATCTGAAACAAAAATTCAACATTCAAATTATAATTCAAAAGCTTTTTTTAATTATTTAAATGGCAATTCGTGCCAACGTAGAAAACTTATTCTTCATAGTTGAAAATGCTCAAAACTCATAGCATAAAGGTTTTGAAATGTTATAATGAAAGAAAAGTTGTTTGAAATACACTCTCGCACGTCAAATAGAGCAATCTATGACCATCCGCTATTACCTTCGTCTACGGAAGTAAAGGTGATGTTTTGTGTATGGAGCGATTTTTATCGAGTTGACTACAGAAAATTGCAGTTTGAGATTTCCTATTGTCATGAGCGTCAAGTCAATTGTTGAGCAAGATGGATTAAAACATTAAACTGGTTTGATCTCGAAAGGGCGTTTTTTGAAGTAAAAATTTGAAATTAACAAATGTCCAGTTTAGTTTGACTTTTTTAGGTTTTTTTTTTTTTTTTTTTTTTTTTTTTTTTTCCCTTCTTGGTCACAACAGTTTCCTTAAAAAGTACTCCACGCTCCCGTATCAATTAGTCAACTTTGAGTTTCTGTGGAAAAGCATCTCTTTTTCTACGAGCGCTTAAATTTTAGTAATATCAAATCGAAATTCAGCAATCTGTCCAACAGGGCCGTTCATAAATTACGGAACGCTCTAGGGCGGAGGCGCAGAGAGGGGAGGGGGGTGACTTAACTAGCGTTATGAGAGTAAGTTACAGAGAAGAATAATATTTCACGCTGGGAAACTTAACGCTGAAATGGGCGCACAGCTCCAATTATTCAAAAAATCTGAACGGAAAATCAAAGCGAGATGGTAATTCCATCCCCAAGTCACCACAAAACGCTACTTTCAGGAGGCGATAATCAAACTGAGCGTTACGTAATTTTTCCTACGGGGGCGCAGACATGTATGATGGATGCATTACGGGGAGGAAGAAGAGCGTCGAGTAATTCGATTTTCACCCTTACGCGTTTCATGAACGGCTACAAAAATTCAGTTTTAGACAGATGATCCGCCCCGGCTAAAAAGAGACAGAAGCGAGAAAATTGTGTGCCTGTCCAAGAGCACAGTCCGAACAAAATGCCGGCGCATTTTTCATCTTCTTACATTCAAAACTTGGACGAGAGAACTCCCAATTTCCTCCCTCGATCAGAGCGACCCCCATTGATAGGTGGCCTCAGAGTAGCGGAGCGCAAAACCCCTCGATCATCAGGCCGAATTGCATCCCTCCCCTCGGCGCCCGAGCAAAAATCACCCACTTCCATCATCCCACTCTTTCGCATGGCGAGGTTAGACAAATACCTCGAGACCCGGCGCCACGGAAATCGGTACCCAATTTCCAGTCCCGTCTGGAGATCCCCATCCCAGCGCCCTCGAAGCGGCGGGTAGGCAGAACGCACTGCAAAGCGGTCCACCCTCGCACGGGAGGGGGTTCGGCTACCGCGTGCGACTCATGATAAACTCTTCCGTCTGGCGCCGGCCGACGCATTCAACGGAATAGTTGCGTCCCCCCGCCCACCCCTCCTGGAGAATAGATGTCAGCGCTCCCTATTTTTGCGACTTTACTCCTCTCCGAGTTAACTAGGCTGTTTCGGTGTCGCGCCATACAAGCGCGCTTTATGTGTTTATACTTTTGTTCGATTATACGCTCAACTTGACCGTTTCATCGTCCCCCTCTCTCCCTGTCGACCGATCGGGGCCCCTCCCCTATGATTTATGGACGGGCATTTCTCAATGATCTAATGGCTGCAGTCTCCTTTCGTCGCTGCGTGCACGAGTCGTGGTCGGCAGTCGCCTCTCTCCCTTATTCCATTCGGAGCTTCAAGGGAATGAAGAGAGACGTCCTGTGTTCGTCGGGGTAATTAATTATGGGCAGATAAAAAGTGAGTTTTGAACGGGGCTCTGACACGCCCTCTTTAAGTGACTCTTGAAATATCACCCCTGGTCTGAGTTCCCCCGGCGATTTTTCCCGCATTACCCTGGAATCACGGACAAGTTAGTTGATCAAGTAGATAAATCAAAGCGGATGTTTGAGGAAGAAGGGATGAGCAATAATACACGGAAAAAATAACAAGAAATGCGTCCGCGGGGGTAACTTCTGCCCGTTAGGGGATGGGAAACTTTGCACGCTCGAGATGAGAAAGAAACGGGAAGAAAATATAAAGTTGCAGTAATGCGGGCTAATGAAGCCGTTTTTGTGACATTCTTAGAAGTTGAGGATCATCATTTTCCCATAAAAAGAGAGGACCCTCGTTCATTATATTCTTTCGCCTTATCTTCAGATCTCGTCAAATAGTAACCATTTTAACTTAGAATGTACATCATTGTCTCCGAAATCTATGAAATGATCGAATTTTAATGGGAGGTCCGGTTGTGCTAACCGTTGTTGGATTCATATTGCTCTGCACCTAAACAAATCCTGTCTCCAAATCAAGCGTTATTAAAAGTAAAACTAAAAATTTACTTAGGCTCAATGTTGACTGAGAGAAAATTGACGATTGAAACATTTTTGACGACGAAATAGATGAAGAGGAATTTTAAGATATGAAATCGCCGGACAGTGATTTTAGAACAAGGTGTTTCAATTTACGAACTGAGAAGTTGGATTCATCACAACAGGACAGAATGAATTACGATACGTAGAATCCTAGTTGGGACACGGCATGTTTCTTTGACATGACAAAAACTGCCTCTTCAAGAAGAAATGTCTTTAGGCGTGAGGAACAAACAAATGTTGTGACAATTGGCAAGTTGTCTATTTAACTGACTTGTTTTAATTCAGACACTATTTAGTGGTTCACCTCAGATTTTCACAGCCTTCCGTTCCTCTTTTCTTGCAATTTATTACAAGAAACCCTCTTATCCAGGAAATTTCTGACGTACTATCACTCTAAAAGAAACGACAAGGACAAAAGGAGAAGAATATGACCGGTAACTACCTTATTAGAGCACCCGATATACCACATCATGTGCCCATAAATTGTGAATAAAAATGGTCGGTAACCCGAACCCTGCACAAGTGAACAATCCGTCAAAATCAATATTTCCCCTCACCATATTGGAAATTGCCGACCCCACAGACTACGTGTAACGCGTGTACTACTTATAAGTGCATGTGTGCCGTACGCATTTGGATGTATTTATGCTAAAAAAATGGTGTATAAAAAAAGATTATTTTGGAAGCAAATACCATGCACAGAGTTCCTTTCGATTTAATGCGTTGTCTTATTATTCCTCTCAGCGTTAATCGTCGTGTTTCAGACAAAGAAACGTAACTCAAAGCCAATGACGCAAAATTGACTATGAAACAATTCAACTTTTGACGAGAATACTGCGAGACTAATGTACAATTTCTGTCCAGAAATTTCTTTCAGTGACCAGAAGACAAATCAGTGCAATTTTTGGTGCGAACTTGAATACCGACGGTCATCGAGTAAAAATAAAATATGCGAATGAAAATTCCGCAACGCTAGAGGGAGTTCTTTTGTCTGAAAACGAAGCGATCAGTGGCGTGGCGTGAATTGCTATAAATCGATTATTATGCCATTTAAACCTATGGTAAAGAATCGATTATGAAGGTGTTCGCTGCGAACACCCTATTTATCGATCCTTTTCCACAGGTTTAAATGGCATACCAATCGATACATCGTAATTCACGCCACGCCACTGGAAGCGATGCGTCGGATTCATCGAGACAAATAGGGTTCCGAATACCTGAAAAATCGGCTGACCCGATGTTCCTGAACCGAACCGCGAGTTTGGCAACCGCAAGGACGCCGAGGACCCCGATTTGAAATTCCTCGCAATTCGGCTGAATACAGGCTTATCAGATTTCACGAGTTCAATGCGCATTGACTGGGACACCCCCCCCCCCCCCCCCCCCCCCCCCCCCCCCCCCCCCCCCCCCCCCCCCCCCCCCCCCCCCCCCCCCNGGGGGGGGGGGGGGGGGGCAAGACGGTAATTGGAGTCAGGTCCGTATTTACAAGTAATAACCCTGGAATGCGATTTCGAGTCGCGACGTGCTTCAGCTCCCCCCCCCTTACCCCTTCATCCCTCGATGCTGCATGCGTTTGATAATTGGATGGCATTTAGGGAGAGAGCGCTGTGTCTACGTTTTGTTTTTCTTCCTTCAGTATTTATTTATTTTTGAGTGGAGGACTGTACGTGAAACTCCATATTTTACGAGTCCCGATAGTTTTGAGTAGTGCAGTTGCCTTAATTTTATACACGGTCAACAATTTTTCATACAGGGGTGGTAATGGGTGGAAAATTCCTGAAAATCAAGAAAAATGGCGTTAATATGGGGACATTTTCTGGTAATGGGTGGCAAAAGGGAGATTTGGGGCTCTGATCTTTTCGCCCTGGCGACGTCATTATTTTGAAATATTTCACATGTCAGTTGCGCGTATCACAGATTTGTATTTTGACATTTTGATGGTTCCGTATTGTTAATTAGACGAATATTTTAAAACCCTTTCAGGCACCGAGTCTCCAAGTCTAACTCAAACAATGAGCTGGAGCAAGAAACGTGAAATTGAAAATTACTTTTCAAGGTTTTGAGGGGTATTTATACACTTTCTAAGATTATTATTATTTTATTTTTTTTTTATTTTTATTTTTTTTTAATGAAAAAACAGCAACGCAAATTTTTTACCTTATTTAAACGATTAACTCCCACGCTCTTCATGATTAACGAAAATTAGTGAAAAAACTTGACGAGAAAACAATTTCTTCGCCTTTCCTGTAAAATCTGTTTGGTGGAGTTACAACCGTTTCGTATAAACCAATTGAAATACGACACATTCCCCCTGATGCAGAATCTTCACGCTCGCAAACTTAAAATACATCAAATATCTGACACGAAAATCTAATTTCATAATCGGAATTTTCGAAAGTGCACTTCTGAGGACGCTTTTTCTTGCAGCGACGAAATATTTACACTTAGCGCGCGGCAAATTCTCGCCTCGGGGGTAAACAGCGTCAATCTTGCCAACAACGGCGGAGAAACCTCGGCC